AAGCTTATTAAAAAAAAAACAAAGACCAACTTATGGGCGTCACGAGTGCACCTAAAAGACAGTACGCGTGGGCAAGGAGCCTCCGTTCCATCCAAGTCCGACCTCAAGCTCTCCGATGAAGCCGATCAAGCAGCGCCGACAGTGCATCGACACCGCGCTCGTCGTGTTTATGCGTGTGCTATCAACGACTAAACCAATCACGCCTCCCCCCCCCCCCCCCCCCCCCCTCCAAAAAATAAAAAAAAGAGATCACGGCGCATGAGCTTTGCGTTTAGCCGGGGAGAGACAACGCACGACGGCGACGACGAAGCCAGCCGCGAGGAGGCAGCGCTGCTTGACTCGCTCCATCGGGTCGTAGCGTCGGCTCTGCTTGCGACCGTCTGCCTTTAAACCTCTTCAATTACCTAACGATAAAAAACGCTATCTGTCGGGTAAAGCACTTGGCACTTCCGCTTTTTTTTTTTCCCCCTTCGAGCATCGCACTTTTTTTTTTCTTTTTTGCCTAAGAACATTTTGACGATGTAATAAACGATCATTTTTCATAAATACAGTACGTACATGCGATCTCTCAAATAGCGCGAAATCTTCGTTCTAGAGAAATGCAGGTCCAGGGACACCTCATAGATGGCGCCAGCGTGCCAGCGTCGTACGAGGTCGCAAGAACTCGGTTGTGAGCAAACGCGAGTGCATTGGAACTGGCTTTTAGCGTGGAAAAGAGTTTAAGCGAAGCGATCCGCTCTACTTGGAGGCGCCGCGGGATCGGACAGTCCTCCTCGGTCGTCGCCCGGTCAAACGGCGTCGCGCGTCTGCCGCGGAGGAGCGCGCCTGTCCCATGTAGTCGGCGACGCCTCGGACGCTGTTCCGCCCGGTTCCAGGCGCTGCCCGCGACCCGATGCTATCTTGGAACCAGGAACTCTCCGACGCCCGTTCGGGAGACACGCTCGGCCAATCGCGGCACACGTCCACGATAAGGAGACGCTCGTTTAGTCACGCGCGCTCATTTTTCCAGTTTCCTGATAGGAGAAACTGGAGAGCAGAAAAGGAGAGAGAGGGGAAATCAAAGAGCTGCGTGCCTATTTGTATGTCCAGACTCTGGAGGAGCGGAGTGCCGCTGTCCCTTTCTTGACAGGTATACCGGCGCCGCAGCAGCCCCAATTCGGAAAGCTATTTTTAAGGCGCCGAGCTGAGGACGGCTTCAGATAGAAAGGACGGGAAAAAATCAACTAAAGGCGTCTATTGTTAGGGCGCCTACGGGTTCTGCTACTGTCGCAAAAATGCTGACATTTGTTACGTTTATTGTAAATTCAGGACCGCGAAGTAACTCATATAAAACAACACTTTTTAGGTTACTGAATATAGTTACAATCTTGGGAAGTAAAAGCTTTTTAAGTTCGCATGCAATTTCAGTAACTACAATCTCGTTTCTATATTTAGTTTTAAGATCCGTGCTACATTCTAATTATTTTTAAATCAACTTTTCTGTACATGCCTAGGAAATAACATGATGAACAGAACAGCGCACACTAAGACAAGGACAGAGAAAAGGAACATGAAGGACACACAAGCGCTGTTCCGTCCTTGTCTTTGTGTGCGCTGTTCTGTTCACCATGTCATCGTACCAACTCGCCCAACTTACAACACTTCTGCTAGGAAATAACACCTAGGCGAAAAATGTTCAGTGCTACATTACTGGCTACTTTTACACTGATTCAACCGCGGCGCATCAAAGCGACGACAATGAATGGGTGAAAGAGAACTGGGTACGTACGTATGATTGGTTCGCTCCCAATTCGATCCTTAGGGGTCGCATCCATGCAGGTTGAAGCACTCTAAGATTGTACCAGCAGCTAGCACTACAGCCTAAAAGACTATAAAGAGAGTGACGCCATTAAAATTATACGCAAAACTCAGCGAACAAAGTAGGTTTGACCACTGCACTTGCACCAAAGCATTACAGCGAAGTCGATCGTAGAACGAGGCCTCCCGGATATCTAAGCAATTCGCTCCACGCTTTCCCCAACCTTTGTTGCTAAGTGTTGAAATAAGAAATGTTTTTGAAGTAGCCTCCGAAGTGGTAGTAGCCTGATCTAGTATGTCCACGCTCAATTCACGCTCAGATAATCTTTGACTGTATACCGCACTGCGAAGTACTGGGGATAACAGTCCATGGTGTTGCATTAATATGCTTATCCCAATCAGGAGAGTCATAGCTAGAGTGCTGTAAGAGTAATGAAGCTATCGCAGATCTTAATATTTGCTACGTTAATTGAAAGGAAAACAGTAAGTGGGAGTCGGTGTACATTAATACACAAATTTGTGAGGTTTTAAGATGGCACATTTTCTTCGTCTTCGTATTGCTCACTTACGTACGCCAGAGCCGTTTATGACGCATACAAACCATGCTTACAAATATTCGAAGCTATTCCCAGTTGTCTAGATAATTATGCGACCCTCATCGGCATCGTATGTTTTACCCATTTACAACGTGTCCAACGTTAATATGAACCTTTATTTATTTAATGTTAGTAGGATTTATACATCAGCGATTTTACATTGTAATGAGGCACGTTAGAACTTAAAGAAAAAAACAGTTGAAAATATCGCTACGTTTGGACGTTTATTGAAAAAAAAACAAAAAAAAAACTGTGATCTACCACGAAATTTGTGCAGTACGGCCGCTTGACCTTCAAATACGCTTCTAAGAATCTGACGTTGCTGAATGGACACTACAACACATGTCCTGATTGCCCACACAAAATTCTTAGGCTATGTCGAGAACTGCCACAACTTAAATTAGCCAAGGGCTTGGTTCGAGCTAGTTGGTGCACGAAACTAAGATAGGGCCAGTTTGAACTTAAGAGAGGAAGACGTGAAAGTACAAAGATATATATATATAAATTTGCGCAATCCGGTAAAGCTAAACACAGCGACAGCTGAGGTGTGACGTCGTAGCCGCTAAGGTTTCTTTTCGGAGCAGATGGACTGAATGAACAGTAAAGGTGCGAGCGCGAGCGCGCACCATTTAACATAGGCCGTTTCGTATTAAACCGAGCAACACACCGGATGGAAATTCCATGGCGTTGTGGAACCGATGAGGGTGTATTAAGTAGAGAGCATTTCAGCTGTCTGCGTAAGATGGGGGCGTGCTTTCGTTCGTCACTTCGGTACAAAGAGTCACACGTGCCAAACGAAAAGCGCCGAATGAACAGGAAGGAAGTAAACAAGACGAAGTGCACCCTTAAAATAAAGGTTTATTGAAACAAACGCACACTATAATAGCATCTTTCTGGTTATTCGTTTAGAAAATAAAGCTCTGCATGTGTCAGGTGCATTGACGGCGTTCTAACGCACTTGCTTTCCCCATGCCTTCCGATACAAAATGCATCGTAAAATTCCATGACAAAATGCTGTATGAGGGGGAGGGGGGAGGGAGGTTCTAGCAAAATGAAAAATTTCGGGGGGGGGGGGGGGGGGGGCGGGCCCCTTGCCGGCCCCCCCCCCCCCTCCCCTGGCTACGTGCCTGATTCAAGGTACATAAAGAGGAAGAAGTATTCAACAACCTTTGGCAGTCCAGCTACAGTCTAGCGATATATTTGTATGGTTTGGTATCTTTTTTTTATGATCTCTGTGCTTGCACGGTTCCCTGTCTTAAAAGCTGGGCTACGTGTTTTGCGCAAAAGGTAACCGAGGTATGCTTTGATTACTTTTAAAACATCCCGTAACGCTAACGTCTTCTGCCATTTCTGACCCTTGGTTCACTTTCCAGCCTGACCAATATATTGGCGCGCAGTTCTGTCACTCTCAGGAAAACATTGTGGCAGCGACAGCGAGAAGTAGCGATGTCTCCGACAGATGAAGAAAAGCGGCACGTGGCCATTCATTTGGCGCTTCCTAATTGCTTCTTATAATGCCGGGATTTCTTTGGCTACGGCAATAATCATTTGCTTGGGATTCGCCACGTCCGGCTTTCGTCCGAGAAGCAGCCGAACTAGGTTACTCCGTGAACGGGACACACTTACGGTTGCAGACGGAAATTGCACTTCAACTCGGGAACTACTATAAGTACCAAAGTTGTAACTAGTTACTTGAGCTCGAACACGTGAAATTCGTAGCTTTTTCAGATTCAAAGGGGGGCTGGCCGTACTATAGGATGGTTCCAAGGACGCCGTATCGCTACACGGCTTGCTGAGCGCGGCGCTCACTCGGTGCAGTTGCGCGAACCTCAAGCGAGACGGGGGAGAAGGGGCTGGGAGGCAGTCGGCCGAGGATGTTCTCAAAGGACGGATTGTGCGTCGTAATGACCCGGCGGCATCAGCGGAGAATCTCCGAGCCAGAAGGACGCCGTCTGTCTTTCGCAAGGCCACAACTGGGTTAATGAAAGGCCCCTTGGGAGGGCGTTGTGCGGCGGACCCTGTTTTCACCGCCTCGTCCATTGGTCGCCCTCCCCTTTGTTGTATAAGCGACGCGCGGCTTGGAGCGTGCCCATCCGTCGCCGACTTTTGTTCGTCGGAGAATGCGGAGAGCGATACCAAAGCGTCGGCGGTCGGCACACCGTGAACGTCGAAGCGTCGCTCGCCACCGCTCTCTGGACGTGCGTGCGACGCGAGAGGAGCCCTCCCAAAGAGGCCGCTCTTGGCGGGCGAGTTCTCGTGTAACGACGCGTGACCGAGATCGTCTTCGTGGCTCTATCGGAGGCGTCGAAGCGTGGGAGTCGACTTCGCCTCGTGTCGCAGTATGCTGTAGTCACGCATGTTTACCGACAGTCAAATTATGGAACGATTTCGGCTCTTCTGTCGTCCAGTTTTTGAAGCGCATGAATCAGCTAACTCAACTTTACGCGCGATGCCCAAGCAGATGAAATTCGGTTGTAGGAATATAACATTTGAGAAAGCGCGTTTTCTTAGGGAAAGGCCTATAAAATCTAACTACGAATCGTTGCTGTTCTATTGTTTAAGATCAATTGGAGCTAATTGTGCTGTAAAGCTTGTTTTGATAAGACGATGGTAGCGGAAGAAAGTGAGGACACTCGATGTTTCTACCGTCTCAATGTGCTGTCAAGTCTAACCCACAACGACCCAATATGTAATATGTTTCGTTTAAAGCGAACTGTGCTCTCTATCTATTGATTTGCACGTGCTAAAATTATGCATGAATACGGAATCCACCACATATAGTAGCTGCGCCTTTTCTGTAAACTACAGTCCGCAAAAAAATTAAAAAAAAACACGTATATGCGGTGCATAAAATCGGCTTAATATAAAAAATAAGTCATTCGGCAATTCTACAGGTTCTCATACGCACTTCAGTCGAGGTCGGTGATGACTTGCGCCACCACATACTCTCGAATGTTCCCAACGCCTATCATTTGTTTTACGTCAGTCAGTTCCCTGTCGAGCGTTATCATGCTCCGGTTGGCACGCAATCTCAGTGACAAAATGCCGTCGGCCCCTTTTACCGCTCAGACCGCACGGCTATTGGAGCGTAATACCGATGGCCCTTTTCAGTGATGGAACTGATGACATAAACAATAATGTACGATTGCGAGGTCGTACTCATGCCCGAGATTTCGAGAGGGAGGAACTTGTATCGAAGCCATCTTTAATCATTACGCCGTGGTCTCTCAGTCCAAGAAATTTCAATCGGGCAGACTGGTCTGGTGTGTGCATATGTGGGCAAATATACTTAACGACACTGCTTCCAGCGAGGCAAATATAAGAGGAGAATGCAGTTTTTTTTTAATGTTGACCTGTGTTTGTTGTTATTAAACGTTTACTGTTAATGTCTTCTTTCCAATACTGCAATTGGGAGTAGATTAACCGGCAGTTTTAAAATTATTCTCGCAGGTGTCGTGGCCCTGGCAGTGGCTGATGATGAAAAGGAAGCGGCGGAAGAGGAACTGGTAATATGACGCATTCCCCTGGGAATTACTCTAACAATGGGTGCACAGCACGTCTGCGCGCCGACTTGATTATCACGCGAATACACATATAGCGGGAGCTTATTTGCTGAAAACAGTCAAGCTGGAGAGTTTCCTCTTTTCCAGACCTCTTTCCTTACTTTTACTCTTAAGAAGTCTGGAATTGTTTTCTTTGTATTCATGTACTATAGTCGATTTAACAAGCTGCCCTGTTATAAAAATGTTTTCCTGTTATCTGACACAGCTATCCAAGCTTGCCGTTGTTTGATCACTTAGCATGGGTTCACATGAATGTTTCGTCAGCATTTGTTGAGGATTCTGTGCCAATCACACTCCTCGTTCTGAAGAAATAGCACCCCCAATGTTGCTCGATCAGATGTTGAAGAGTGTCTAATGTCTCATTAAAACTACAGACCACATTCACTGAGACAATCATCATCTACCGTAGTTTTTTTTTTAATTTTAAGCTTATTCAAAATAACACCTGTAGTCAACAATGTTATAACCATTCGTAAACGTGCCTCTCCCCTTCCCGTTCCAGGTTAAGCGCGCCCAGAACTCTGGTATAATGTCCACCTTTATGCCTGACCCACAGGGCGCTGGCTACGTGATGGCCTTCCCTATGGACGACAGCAAGCCGTCCAATGGTGCCACTAACACCACCCCGACTGCCGATGATCAGCAGCAGCAGCAGCAACAGCAGCAGCAAAGCGCGCCGACCTCGCCGGAGTCGGAGGAGCCCAAATCTTCAGCTCCGGAGGAATCACCTGTTGTCGAGGCCGTGGTGGTCGAATCGGGGTCGGACAGGCCCAAGGCGGACGACATCCGAAAGATTTTGGGTGTCTACAACGCGGCCATGTCGGCCAAACTTAAGCCCATTCCCCCGGAGAAGCCCAAGCAGTTTCTTTTTCCCCCGCCCCGGAAACAGTACGGGCCGGGCGGCTTTCCCGTCCTTTCTGCTGTAGACGAGCCTGAGGACGGCATTCGGTTCATTGAAGTCCCGGAGGCCGCGTCCAGTTTCATGCACCGGTCTCTGGTGGTTGAGAGCGACAACGACGTCCAGGCCCTCTCCGACAAGAAGGACAAGGACGACGATGATGAAGAACAGGTCGTGGTGAGCGTTCCCTCGTCCAGCGAGAACCAAGAGCAGAACAAGGGAGAGTCCCAGCAGAAGGCTCCTTTGGGCATGCCCGCCATGCGACCTCCCTTCTTCCCGAGGGTGCCGTACCAGGGCTCGCCTCTGGTGCTCATGCTCGTGGCCCGAGTCCCCGTGCCGGTGCCCGTTCCTGTGCCCAGCGCTTCGGCCATGCCACGATACGGGATGGCGCCTCCCCCGTTCGCGCCGTTTCCAGGAATGATGCGCCGCATGGCGCTCGCGCCGCCACCACGCTTCGCGCAGCCCTTCTACCCGGGCCCACCTCCACCTTTCTTCCCGCATCCTGCAGGACCCATGCCCGACATGATGCCACCCTTCGCAATGCCCCCGCCTATGTTCCGTCATCCTGGGATGTATCCCCCGTTCATGCCGCATCCGGCCATGATGCCCCATCCCGGCATGATGCCCCATCCCGGCATGATGCCTCATCCAGGCATGATGCCTCATCCGAGCATGATGCCTCATCCGAGTATGATGCCTCATCCTGCCATGATGCCGCACCCTGCTATGATGCCTCATCCCGGCATGATGCCCCACCCGGCTATGATGCCCCATCCGCCAATGATGCCTCACCCAGGGATGTACCCTAGCCCGATGTCGAGCATGCTGCCCCCTCCCGCCTTCATGGCCCCGCCGATGCACCCGCTGCACCCAATGCATCCGATGAACCGCGGCCCCGTCGGCGTCATCGTGCCGGTCGGACTCGTGCTGTCCCACCCGGAGGCAGCAACCTTCCGTCCTCGGATGCCGCCGATGCAGCAGGCCCCCAAGCTGGAGCTGCCGTTCCCGGAGGCCCGCGGCATGGCCCCGTCGCAGGCTCCCTTCCTGTTCCGCGGTCCCCCGATGCCCCCCCGCCCCGAGCCCCGAGTGGTCCCGCAGGATCGGAGGCCCTTCATGGTCGGCGTGGAGGAGCTGCCCCAGAGGATGCATCCCCGCGAGCAGATGGGTCCCGTTCTTGTGAAGCCCGAGGGCCCTCGTAGGGGGCCCCTGCCGCTTGCGGGACCCCGGCCCGAGCCAACCCTGCTGCGCAGGCCCTGGCCCCTGGCGCCACCCCACGCAGCAGCCGCCGTGAGTGCTTTCAGAACTAAATTCTAACGGTGTCTTTTATTTGCTTTTGGTAAGTAAGAGTTTATAGTTCAACTGGTTAAAGGCTTGTGCAAATATCTAGCGATAGACTTCAAATACCAGAATCTGACAATTGTAACAAACGGCCTAAACATCCGTACAAAAAATGTTTAACTCTCCGAATGATAAAGAGGGCAGGAGCTATAAAGAGAAACACATAGCATAGCCTCGTTAGACTAGGGCATAAATGAACTGATCTGTTTGCCCCAGGAAGAAGAGGGGTTTCGGGAACGTTCACTCCGCGAAAAAGTGTTGAGAGGCTGCAGTATCCATGCTTTGTTATATATAACCACTCCGCGAAATGCTCACGCATTTCTTCGGGAATCAGCGCTGCAGCAGCTGCGACTTTTTTTTTTTTAGAGCGCAGCTCTTAGTCGGGTGTTTCCGGGTTTGCCGGCGTTGGCGTAACCGCGCTAAATTCAGCGGGACAATTGACGTCACGTGACCTTAGCAATATTTCAATTTCCCGCTAAATTTAGCGGGGAAAATGACGTCACATGATTTGGCGTCACGTCCCGTATGAAGAAATTCAGTTTCTCCGCTAGATTTTGCATGACAATTGACACCACGTGACCACAACACCAATTCAATTCCCCGAATTTAGCGAGGAATTTTCCCGCTAAATCTAGCGAAGAAACTGAATTTGTCCGCTAAATTTCGCGGCGATCTACACAAAGCAGAGCACTTGCTACCTCTTACATGCAGCGGATGTTCAACCCCCCCAGATGATCTCGAGGCTGATGCTCGCGCCCGAACTACAGGCTGGTGAGAGGTTTAGGAAAAGGGGTAGAGCTGGGCATACCCGAAGAGGGCTCCCATGCTACAGGACACGCCGCCCTGCTTAGCAGCTTCCACCTATTCATCTCTCGGATTATTCCTTATGCGCATACACAGTCCCCGCGTCGATGTGTGGCGGCGTAGAAGTTGGACTGTAGAAAGGCGCATCTCCGGCGTGCCTGGCGTGGAGGGACTAACGTGGCTGGCGCCGACCACCACTGGCGGCCGCGTTGAAAACGTCGGATTATATCGAGCCCTTAAGGGTTTTTTTGATAGCTAATGCCGATAAACACGCTTTAAAAAAAAGCTATAGCTTATAACAAGATGCCGTCCTAGCGCTCTCAATGCCAAGACCTCGTGGCGGGGTACGCACTTCCACGTGCTCCAGAAAAAAAAAACAGAAAAGAAACAAAAACGTTCAGAAGAAAATAGAACAAGGCAAAAGCGTTTGGAACAAAATGGAACAGAACAAAAGCTTGCGGAACAAAAGATATGTATATTTTGTTCCGAACGCTTTTTGTTCACGCACCCCACTGCCCCACGGTGTGTGAAGGCGACGCCGATGATCAACGACTTCGCCGTGATTTGTCGCAGCTATTGCTGTGGCTGTACTAACCTAACCGAACACAGGACTGCTCAATATTTTATTTTAATGCAAATATATACTTTTTACGGTAGTCGCCTTCAGAAATCCAAAGCTACCCTAAATGTTTTCGTCTTCCCTAAATCAGCTTGTGGCTTTCCCGGTCTCGCAGCAGCAGCAGCCGGAAGCGATGCAGCAGAAACCTTCCTTCCCGATGGCCGAGGTGATCCGGCGCCAAGCCCGGCTGGTGCTCAACGTGCCTCCGTCGGACGAGCGGCTGGGCGTCAGCTACATGCCGTCCAAGATGATGATGACGCCCCGCATGGGATCCAGCGGCGACCTGAACCCGGCGTCGACCCTGGAGACTGCCAGCACTGTGCTGCGCTTCCTGCTCAGGAACCAGGGAGCCTGAAATCCCCCAAAGATCCGCTTCGCCAAAACAAGAAGGGCACGCGTGGCCCCCGCTCTCACTGCACGCTCTTCGGAGGGAAGCATCGATCCCAGCGATAACCCCCTTGTTTCTACTAAGGTACAAATGGATGCACGCCAGGTAGCCCAGGAAGGGACGCGGAAAGTGCGCGCGCACTCAAAGTCCACGGTGATCCCTCTAAAAGAAGTGCGATGAGGACTTTTGAAGGCGCACAAATCATGTCATCGGCAGATTGTATCTGCTTTCTCGTGAGCCCCAGTGACATCGAAGTTCCATATAAATTTTGCGTTTGGTTTCAGATGCGCGCTTGTCCGAAATTAACTTCGAACGAAGGGCGTGCTGTTACCCCTTGGGATCAACGTGCAGATTGTCCACTGTGATAGTTTGGTGGTGAGAAATTCGGTGTGTTGATCGCGAGTAAACATAAGAACGGAAATAGGTCCGCATCAATTTTTACGTCGTGTTATTTTTTTAATAAACGTGCTTGTTCACATCACTGAAGGTATCATTTTTTTCTCGCATAAAATAGACGGCGCAAACATTATACCAAACCAGCATTGCTCAGGCAGCAATACTAAGAACAAAACTTCATGGAAGCAACACGTTTATGATGCCTGACACAGGATCATTCACATTCCGTTTACTCGAATGACATCTTAGAAATTGGCGATCAGCGTATACTAGGAACGGTTTAATTTAATTATGAATCGCCAACATGTTGTTTAGCCAAGTGAACTTTGAATTTGATCTATGAATGATATATTACTCAGCACTAATAGTGAACCACAAAAGACATACGTAGATACAAAAATAACTCTATAGTGACAGAACCCCAGTTTCTTCCATGAATGGTTCTACGAAAGAAATCGTCGAAAAATATGCAAACATGCCCAAGCTGATAGACAACGGCAAGGCTGGCACCGGCTTCTGAGCGATCACGAGCAACGCCAGGGTGAGAATAATGCCGATGACAACATAGATGTAGCAGATGACCACCGCGGACACCGTGCCGTGTCTTGACGCCTTGCCTACCAGGATGCTGTAAAAAATGAAGTCACCGAGGCCCATCTTCATGCCCGTGTCTTCCGGCGCGGCGGCATCTTGGCGGCGCTGACGGTGATGGCGTGGTTGATGCGTGTGATGATGATGATGTGAGCATAAGACATCTTCTTGGCGTCGTATCTCCTGAATAGCTTTCATGCGGGACACCACGAACGAGTCTTCTGTGTTGGTAGAGCCTCTGAAGTTAAGCAGGCGTCTCGGAAGTTTTTCGGCGTTAGTTGGTGTTTGCGCTGCTGAACTTCCGTCCGGAGACCCCGGGGAAGAACTCCGAGTTGGCACTTGAAGGATGGAGTTTCTTAGGCTTTCAGGGGCTTCCAGGAGTGCGCTATGAGACCCTTGAATGAGCAGGTCTTCTGAGCGTGGCAATCGTCGGACGCTTGACAAAGGCTCTCTGGCAAGGTTGACGACACCACTGAGGTCATAACACCACGCGGAAGACGTAGAAAAAAGGAGTGCCGGAAAGAGTGGTTCGTTCCTTTCGTGTGCTGTCTCAATTAACATCCGGAGAGGGCCGATGACGCAAAGCACGGCGAACATGTCCCATAGCGAGACGAGGATCATCAGTATCCACGCCGTCCACTCTGGAAACGATTCTTCCAGAACGACGGCCATCAAAATTGACACGTAAATGACGAAGCCCTGGTGCATAACGAACGGGCCCTTGTAGTACAGTGTGCCCATACCGGTCATGCCGATGTTCCAGACGATGAACGAACAGGAGAGATGATCCATGGGGAAGTTGAAGTAATACACACACCGCCCCATGTAGTAGTAAGTGACCACGAAGAGCAGCACTCCGGAGCCCGTCATGAGCCATGCCTTAATGACATTGGTGTAGCCTCCTTTGTAGAGCAGGACCAGGGTGCAGTTGACGATCATGATCATCGAGAGGAAGCTGAATGCGTTGGCGAACGAGTTCATGAGCAAGACGGGCTCCGCGTCGTACTCGACAGGGTAGCGCACGTACGGCTGGTTCATTCCGTCGTTCTTGCTGGGCTTGAGGATTCTCACGAGACACGCCACGGAGGCCATGCAGATGGAGAGGGCACATATCAGAGTGATTACTTGTCGCATGATGTGTCTGTATTGCGCTGTCATGCTATGGCCCATCTTGGCTTTCCGCCTCCGCTGGGCTTGGAAGATCGCTCGGTAGTGCCGGGAGATGTATGAGGACGTTCTTACGAAGGCTGTGACCGTGGACGTGCTTTTGTTCGGCGGTGATCGCGTGCTGTGCGGCACGGACCCAGAGAGAGCGATCTACTTTGTCTTTTTTGACAAGATTATCCCGGGTTGGCCTATCAACTGACAAAAAAAAAAAAAAAGAACAAACGAAAACGCAAGTTTTATTTTTCTAACAAACCCAACAAGCTAAAATAAGCACTTAAACGCAAACAGGCGGGACGTAATATTTTGCCGCTATGTGACACGAAAACAAATTCCTCACTTTATTTGTCCTCTGTAAAACGTTCTAATTGGAAGTACTATTCGTATTATTTCACACCCGTTATTTTTTTTTTTTATTATGATCACAACTTCATTTTTTTTATTGTATTTTTTGTTCGGTCAGGCAGTTGGAGTTATGCGCGTCAACAAAAAGTCTCAAATGTGTTTGGGTTAAATAGACCTTTTGCCAGAATTACCCAAGCATCAAACAGCACGAACGCTGATAATGGTACCTGCCAAAACGCCGAAAAATTGGGTTCTGGGTATATTTATACAGCCTAAAGCTAGTCTGCCTCAACGGGCGACTTGTCTCTCAGCTGTAGATGAGCATTTAGCCAGTGCAGTACAACCTCTAGCCTGGAGTCTTAAACGTGCACCACGCAGTAGTGATTCACGACCGCAAGCCGCTACAATCATAATGTACGATGCTCATCCAGATCTAGATTGCACCTAGACCCGAATCTAGATCTGAATCCAGATCCAGTTCCTGATTGCTCATCTGAACTCTGAACGCGTGAAGCGAAAGCTCTCACTGCAGAACCCAGAGTAGAGTGAACTATACTCTGTTTCATACTCAGTGTACAATGCTGTCAGTGCTGCTGACACGAGCATGGGGCTTAATCTCGTTGACCTCTTTCACGCGTTTTCGCGCAAACAAAACCATAGATGAAAATACGCGCACGCGGCAGTATCTTTGACAGCGTGGTCCATTAAGTATAAAACAGAGGGGTAGCTTAGCGATGTAAGCGTTTAAATATATTTAAAACCAAAGGAAAAAATAAACAGAAGGAAAACCGGAACAGTGTGGTCACTCCTAATGGGGTACTGCCAATCCCGGTCTAAGCAAAAAAAAAAAGAAAAAAAAAAGAAAGAAAAAAAAGGGGGGGGGGGGGGTGAGGGGAGAAGGAAGGAAGAAGAAAAGGTTGAAACAAGACACACACAAATCAAAATGATAGTCAGCGACGTCTACACTCTAAGAAATGCCTGCGCGTCTACTTACCCACAAAACACTCAAAGAGCCAATCTCTGCGATCTAGGAAATCAGCTCTGCGAATGCGGAGGCGGAACACCCATCTAGACCTAAAATCGAAGTCTGCGCTGTGGCATTACGCAATGCAAAGCGTCATGCTTGCATTGTGTAGTGCCACAGCCCAGACTTAATTTTAATGTCTATGCAGATATTCCGCCTCATCATTTGCTGAGCTGATTTCCTAGATCGCAATGATTGTCTCTGAGTGTTTTGCGGGTAAGTAGACGCGCAGGCATTTTTTAGAGTGTACACTCTAAAAAAAGTTTGTGCTTCTACTTTCACGCACGATACTTGGAGAGCCAATCACCGCAACTTACGGAGGCAGCTCAGCGAATGACCATGACGAAACATATGTTAAGACCAAAAAACGCAGTCTGAGTTCTGACATGAAGCAATGCAAAACGTCACGCTTGCATTGCTTAATGTCACAACTCAGACTGCGTTTTTTTTGGCTAAACATATGTTTCGGTATTGTCATTCACTGAGCTGCCTCCGTAAGTTGCTCTGATTGGCTCTCCGAGTGTTATGCGGGAATGCAGACGCACGGACTTTTTTTTAGAGTGATATAGACCAGCACTGTTAGGTCTGCCGCCTCAATGGCAGAAGGCCATGCTACCTGTCATAGTCACAGGCCGCACGCCGGTACGATGCTGATCCAGATCGAAACGGGCAGTGGTGGGGAATGAACCCAGGACCCTATCTTGGATCCCTGGATTCTCCAGGGTAGCCAGGGCGGCTCGCATTGCATTTGCTGTGCTACTGGCAATTCGGTCGTCGTCGTCGCGGTTGTTGCCGACGGTTCGGTATTGCACCTCATTCGACATAAGTGACAAAATACACGGGGGAAACATATGAACGGAAGTCAGTTCTCGCCGCCAAACCAGCAAGCCAATCCTGTTAGCCGAAGGTCATCGCAGTCGCAGCACCACCGCGTACATCCTGGACCTTTCTACGCTTGCCGTTTCACAGCAATGCATGGCACGCGCCGGCGCCCTGATCACCCTAAGGGGATCGGTGGCCGAGTGGGCTAGCGCACACCAAAGCCGTACATGTAAAGAGTTTGGCCATTCGTTGGGAAGTATAGGAGACAAATTAGGGGGCACCATTGGCCGAAAGCGGGCTGGGCGTGTTCCAGGGCGTCTTCAGAAATTCGAAGGTGACCAACCAGAAGCCGCAAATAATACCCTGGCGGTGGTCGCAAGAAACAAACCTGATAAGTGCATCGGTGTAACTCTGACTGAAAATATGGCACACGTGTTTCAATCACGCTCATCCAAAATAATGGTGGAAGAGTGCGACTAGCGGAACAATCGACATAATCCTTGCGCCAAGCGCCGAGGGCCGGGAATCTGTCGTCCGAGCGGTCACACACTGTCCGAGCAAAACAGAGTTGAGCGGCGCATTCGCTTCTTACATCTTTCTGCATGATCGTGATGTGATCATGATCGAAGCATCACGTGCACCCTATTTTCAACCACAAAGAGTTACTACACTTCACTCTTTCACGCTTATTTACAGCATATACGAACATAGACTTTTGATCAGAACTGTTTCTCGCTACCACCGCTAGGGGATTCTTTTCGGCTTCTGGCTGGTCAAGAAAGCTTGCCAAGCCCTCTTTCCGAGTCTGGTGCACGCCCTGGCCCTGCCCGCGCCTCCCATTGACCAAACTCTCCCTATACACGGCTCTTGCGCACACCAGCTGAGAGCACGTGGAGCGAAAGCTCGCGCTGCAGAACCCAGGGATCCTAAGCTCAATCCCCACCCCTAGGGTGCCTTCATGTGCGCTTTGCTTAGGGTGGTGGCATCTCGCCATTTTGTCATACACGTTTATTTTTATTTTTTGTTGAGAAGCGCGTGAAAGAGCGTGTCCCTGCACGCGCTTGTGGCGCTGACTGTGCTATGGCGACATTTTGTCTTCGTCGATTTCTTTGTATTTTGCCCGTGAGCGCGTGCTGTCGGCATCTGGTACTACAAAGGGTGGTATCACCCTAAACAGAAGGAGATTGAGGCACCCTACCCACCCCTGCTTGTTTTGATCCGGGTGAACATCGTACAGGCGTACGGTCGTGTATCACTACTAGCGGTTTTACTGCACTGGCTAAATTGCTCATCTGCAACGAGTGAATCGTCGCAACTTTGAAAAAGGCTGACCAACTACACGCTGTATAAATATCCACACAACCCCAATTATTTTAAGCTGAGACTGCAGCCTTAGCTACAAGCGCGAGCTTGCCCGCACTCCTGATTTTGAGACGTTCGTTTCTAGCGCGAGTGCTCGTTTTGCAGAAGAACGCTTTAAAGGGGTGACCTTCATGCTCCTCGTGCTTCCTTCCTCTAGTTCCCTCTACTCAAGGATCCTGGTTTTCAAGAGACTACTTCCTAAACTTCCTGCACGCAGCACTTCGCGCGTTGAATTGGCCACAGTGAGGGGTGGCATGGTTTCGATTTCGATTGCTTCATTGACGAAGTAGTGTATCTGAGCACTGCATGAAAATTAAGTCAGCACTCGCTTGTATTGCACTCAGTCATCTTCGTAAGAGTAGTTAAAACCGGACCCACAGCGACCGTACGGACCTGCCTAAGCTAAGCGAGGAGTATGGCGTACATGAAACGGCGATACGCGATTATGGCAGCAGCGCCCTGTTAGATGCAGAAAACTGCAAATTGCTTCGTGCTAAAAGAAAGCTGCTTCTTGAATGGGTGAATGCAGCACAAAGGACGTGGAATCAAAAACCAGTTGTACGAGGCGCGGCTTGAAGACGGCATTGATGAATATCGAAGACTCCTTCATGTGCCTCGGACGACACGCGCAACAGCGCTAGCCGCAACAAGTTGCAATCTCGATTCCACCGCGGGCATCTTGCTGAGAAAAATATGTAAAGTTGCCGGACATGCGAATGGAATAAAATACCGCCAATAGCAGGGATCCCACGCCACGGTGGGGAGCGTTTGTGCAGCCCGAGCAAAAGCTCTCCTATCTTCCTAGGATGTCTACAACAGCGGGACTCCGCGCAAAAGCGTGACGTTGTTACCACGTGATTCGCATGCAGGGGAGCAAAGGAAGGGATTTCTTCCCCCTTGCGAATACACTTTTAAAGCAGACTAACTTCTGGCTTTCTATACATATATACAGCAGAAGCGCTAAGGTCTATTCGCGACTCCAACGAAATTGATGCCACTTGGCGGCTAAAACAATAAACTGCCGGCAGGTTCGCTTGCCAAGACTAAATCGTGAAAGTAGCTTAAAAAACGCGCGATTAAAAATGCCAATAGTGGGGCGCCAAGCGTGGCTCCCACGTTCAGCTTTTCTTTGACTTCAGGCGGTGGTGAAAACGGGACTTCTGTCTTCAGTGTTCCCTAAATCCACTGGATCCGAGAAAAGTAGCGCCAAGCACCCCTTATGGTCGCCATTTTCGGTTCATGAAATGAGCAATTTCTCGTTGACCTCCCCATCTTCGTGAAAACATTCAAATTCCCGGTGACAGGTTACTTTATAATGACGCATCTTGAATACCGAGGTCTTGTTATCCATGCACCGGCGAAACAAGCGCACATCTTTGCACCGCCACCACATAAGGCGTCGGTGCGTGGAGGCATTAGAAAAAATAAATTTCCTGTCTTGAAATGGGCAAGAACACCAATACCATCTGCGCAGATGAGCATGATTGATAAGTGAATTGCTTGCACATTGCCAAAGACGCTTATATTGGCGAGGAACGCTTTCTGTATACGATAACGCTTCCTAGCGATCTTCGCGTGACTGGTTCAGAACGACCCTTTCGAAGCTTCGAAGATTTGATTGTACGGAAGTGGCGATTTTCATGGAAAATCAAACCGATTAGCCATTCACCATGCGAAGTGATTGACTTTTTTACTTTATGCCCAAGATTTCGTGACTGGATCGATCCAGTCGGCGAAACAGCGCGACGCAAATCTATTCTAACTAACGTCCTTGACTTCCTAAAGAAGACCGGCTTAGGAAAAAAACCTTTAAACTCTTCCCCAACCCACCCCCATTCGGCCCTACCGTAGCCTACATCACCAGTTTTCTTGTGCCAATAAACGTCTACCGAACCGAACCAAAATGTCTGTATGTTAGCATCTGCTTGTGTCCTGACAGCAGGCAGGAAAGGCAATGGCACTACTTTCCCAAGATCCAGTGACTTTAGCGCTCCCCGACGCCTCAAGTTTCACTGATATTTACTTTTAAACAAGCCCTCTATTTTTTAATATCGGTGGACCCCTGCTCGATTCCTCTTTTATTTTGATCATATTAGATATCTCATTTGATTGCAACGCACACCGAGTTTTATAAAACTAGTTTAAATAACACTTCCGCAAAAAAAAATTCGTTTAAACTTTGGTCCATCTTCATTGTTATGCGCTGCGGGAGGACATGGAGTTTTCGCACTGGAAGTTTATGCGGCGGCAAATACGCAAATATTTCACTACCCTTCAGATTTATTTTTATCTTGCCACCGAGGCTGCTCTTTGATGCGTTCGTAGTTTTCATACATAGTTATAAGTTATAGTTTTGAGTTATAGCCATAGCTATGGCTCTCGGTGAATTTAGTTTTTCGTGTTTTATACCGCATTGGTTTATTTATTATGATTATGAATTATTGAGGCTTGATTTCTACGTTTTATTAGAACATCGTCAACCTCACACAAACCAAAGTTGGTCAAAACGAGAAACTATAACTTGAGGCTCTACTCGACCGTTCGAGACGTCAGTACGAAATCAAATCATCTTCAACTTCCGATAACTGGGACAACAATTTATATCTGTATGCCGAGTACATAGCGAATATATCAAGCTGTTATCGATAAAAATAAACAATGCCCCCCCCCCCAAAAAAAAAAACGAAGGACAGAAAGAAAAGTACACACAGCGCTATGGTGGGCTAGAAGGGGAGGCATAGGGGGGGAGCTGTGACGATAGCTCGCTTCGTCCAGCTGGAGAAAATGGTAAGTCTGTTCAGAACGAAGCGTTAGATTCGATATGCCCTCAGCAGTGCCACAACGGCACTCTGCCGCACAGCGAACATTAAGAAGAAAATTATTTTACCGTTGATCACCATCGCGAAGTGCCGCATAATAAATTGTTCACCAAAATGCAGCTCACTTACTACTGACCCTATTTCTAAGCATTGGTCGGCGCCGAAGTAGAGCCCGTTCCCATGTTCGGAATCTGTCGAGTTCTTTTGGGACACCAAACAACGTCGTCTTTCTGCCTGCAGATGTCGAGGATACATTGCCATCTCTTGCAGCCTGATACGCTGCTTGTTAGTCATAACGAAATTCGGTAGCGAAGCTATGGTGGGTCGCCCCTTTCCGGAGGTGCAATGGGGGACGGCGGATGTATCACTGGGGCGCGATGACGAAAGAGAGACAGTCAGAGACAGTTGGAAGAAAAACAGTCAACACAGGTTGTGTTGTCTGTTTGTCCGCCATGACCCTCTTTTGTTATCGTAAATTAGAAACCAACACGCTCAACCATCTACATGGAAGTTTTACCGGCAGTTGTTTTTCGGTCTTTTTCATACTTATCCGAAAACGTGGAACCCTAGCTATTACCATGGCACTGCGTACTATCTCCTATCGTCTCGTGCATATCCCTCCGACAAGAGAGCAGCGCAGGGCTGAACGCAAAGTTTATATAAGATCGAAACCAAATTCCGCTCCGGAACCTTGTCGCCAGCATTCAGTAACCGAATTGCCTCGCCACTAAGTAACGGGAAACGACTGGGAAGTGTCTCGCGGTTGAACCGGAGAAATGTCGCCGGAACCGGACGAGCCGCAGAGCGATGACGTATGATTCTCCCACTTGATTGTAGTGTTAAAAAAAGAAAAAGAAAAAGAAAAAAAGGCAGGGCGCTCTTCTTTACGAGTCCAATCTGCCGCCAGCAAGTCGCATCAACAAAGCGCTCGAACTTCTCAGGCTTCAAGATGTCGGTCTTCTACGGGATCTTAGCGGCAACGTGTCTCATTTTCGGCATTGGTGAGTGAATGCGCAGCCAGTCGATGTTTGGAAGAACCAACCCTCTAATGTTATGCGTTTCCGTCGTTTCTCCATAAAGCGAGTGCGCAGGATCCACCGCCCAACGTGTGTGAAACCTCGTTCATGGACAGCTGCTACGAGACGGCCATCAACGAGTCCATGCAGCTCATCTCCGAAAACCTCCACAACAGACTGGGACACTTGTGCGGGTGAGGCGACCTTTGTATCGTGTAACAAAAAGAAAAAAAAAGATTGGGTTGTGTGTATGTTTATACAGCCTAGAACTTGGTCTGCCTCAACGGGCGACGAGTCTCCCAGCTGTAGATGAGAAATTTAGCCAGTGCGGTACAGCCGCTAGCCTGGGGTTTTTAACGTGCATCATGCTGTAGTAATATACACGACCATACGCCGGCACGATGCTCATCCAGATCGAAACAGGCAGGGGTGGGGATGGAACCCAGAATTCCTGGGTTCTTGAGCGCGAGCTCGTATAACAACAGAGGAACTAGCTCGAAAAGTGTGGAAATATTCTTCAAGTGTGGAAACATTTCTTGGAGGCATCTATTAATATACTGAAGTCGAAGACTAAGCATCGGTCAAACGGATTGACGCCGTGAGTTGCTTGCGGGGTAAAATAAATTTCAGTTCTCTTTTTTTTTTTTTTTTGTGGAAAGGTGAAAAAGAATGTCAATTTAACTGCAAGATGTGTTATCCTAATTTGTACCCTCGGATTTTTTACCACCGTTCTAATGACCTTTGCCGACGTATTTCTCAAAAAAGGCTCCAGACAAATTGAGGTTTTGTGAACGGATTCTAAAACAAATAAAGCACTGCGTGTTGTAAAGTTTCCGCTTCTCAGTTGCTGTCATTTTACGGAGATTTATACATGGATCAGCCCAACTAACCTATTGGTTTGAATGATCTGTTCACTAGTCATAAAGGATTTTGTTTCACCTCTTGCATGTTCAATCAGCCGCCTGACGGACGCGAATTCGACCATGTTCTCGAGCTGCGGCAGCTTCGCAGAAACCTGCAGTTCCGGGGACCCCTGGAAGAAACCCATAGAGGACGTCATTGGGGCTCTCTGCAGCGAAACCAACGTCCGTGAGTTGTCCGATCCCAGATTTATTTTTTGACTGAATACAAAAAGTCTCACGGCCGGCAGCTAAGAAGTTATCAAGATGTGAGGAAACGATGGGGATTTTGTGTTTCTGTGTCTTTAGGAGAAGAAATAAGCGGAACAGTCTTTGCAAATACACTCTAAGCAATAGGGGGTGTACAGCCCTTGTCTTACATGTAACTCCCCAAGCTACATTTTGTCGTTCTGTCCACTGACGTCGAGGCGGCGATACCAACTTTTACAATCGGCTTGATAGCTGTTGGATAAAATGTACTAAATAGCTATCGTGCATATCAAAGACTACGAAACAAAATTACTGAGGTTTTGCAGCAGGGCAAAAAAGAAAAAAAAAAAAACCTTGATTGTTTTAATGTAGCCTTTTATGAGTACATTAGCTATTTTAATAAGTTGTATGGGTCGACTCTCAAGCCACCCGTAAAAGTTGATATCGCCAGCTCGACGTCGGTGGGCAGAACGTCGAAATGCAGTTTTGGGGTGTCCTATATGGGACAAGGGGTGTACCCCAATACAGCCTCTATTAGAGTGTACGGTGTTATCATGGTCAGAAGCACAGATAGACTAGATGGCGCAAGCTACTGCCTTTCACAGAACCTACAGCCACTACCATCCGTTATTTTGGGCTGTGGCAAACATCGAAAGGCCTGACCTGATTAAGGTGGGCTAGATATGGGTGCCGCCCGTGCGATGCCTGCAAAGGGTACTCATTAGTTTTCAACGGTGTCTCACTGATTGCTGAAGCATCGATTGTCTGCTAAGTGACACTGTAAAACGCGCTGACAACTAGTACAACTAGTATCGATAGTGAAAAAAAGTAGAAAAGATAAAAAAGACTATACAATGCAAAACAAAGCAATCTTTATTTCTCCTTTTTTTTAATACAGTTCAAATGTAAATCCCACATAAGCCAATGCTGGCTTGTGTGGGGCTTCGGCTTCGAGTAGCTTTGCAGTGGTTACTTGCGTTCCTTGGTCGCCCCACGCACGTTCCCCAGGATGGGTGGATCCGGACGCCCCCCGGACGCCGGGGGGCGTCCGGACGCCGGCTCAGGAGCGGCGATAAGAGGGCGCCGCTCGAGCCGCCGCCGACCGACTCATTTCCCTTGGAGACAGGTTAGGACACCACCAAGGTCGCAGTCGCTCTGCTCATGCATCATACAGGGTGTTTGCTGCCGACGCCCCTCAATCCCGTTGGGCATGTTTGCACAATACATGCCTCGAACATGCCTGCAGACAGTTTTTGCATGACCACAGGAATGTTGACTGTCTTCTGTGCGATGTATTAGCAGTGCGACCACGGCTTAAAAGGACCAAGAAGGCTGCCGATGCGCAATCCAACTGATAAGGATGCCGCGCATTTCAAAACGCAGCTATTTAAAGTCGGCGTCAAAAAGCGTTTGAAAAAAAAAATCATATACGCCTCGCAAGTGGGCTTATTTTCGTCTTCTGCGCATGAGAAAGGAAGCAGCGGTGACGTCAGAACGCCGAGCCCTGATTGGCTGATCGCGACCCCCTATCTGAGCGTCGTCTGCTCCTTTGAAACTTCGTCTGCTCGCAACGTCGTCTGCGTCTGTCTTACCTTTCCTGCGGCTTTCGGAAGTCGAGCGAGCTCGACTTCGTCTTTCAGAGGGTGCAGACGAAATAACTCGAGCGTTACGTTGTTTTTGTTTAACAACTAGCCGACGCGCATCAAGGAGGGACGTCAAAGGACTTACTGGCGAGGTGTCCCGAGGCGCCGAGGTTTGTTTGCTAAGAACCGAGAGGTGAGGGTGGTTAGTGCCCGCAAGTTCCCTCCCAAATACTTTTTCCCTCCTTTCGTGTGCGGCGAGACTTCTCAAACGGCGTCGGCGGGTTGGCGCAGTTAACGTCGTCTGCTTTACGTCTGCTAGTCAAAGCGATGGCTGCTTTACCTTTCCTGTGTCTGCCGGAGATTCACTGCTTTTCTACCGGCGAGTCACCGTTGCCTCGGAAAACAAGGAGATGACAAGAGGAAGAGATTGACCTCCTCATCAAAAATTGAGGTCAGCGACCAAAGTATAAAACGGGAAGGGTTCACAAGGGTCGCGCGGGCATATTCCATTCAGCACGCCAGCCGGTCGTGGGCAGACGGTCGCCGAGTCGGAGTGCCTGCTAGGCCTATCTGCCGTGCTTGCTTGGTCGTTGTCGGTGGAATCGTGGCCGTTGGAGCTTTTCCCGGGTGTTTGTTGATCCGGCGTTCTTGTTCCTCGTGGTCTGTTCCAAGTACTTTTTACTTTTTGCTTGGTGCTTGAAGTCGGGACACGTGAGAAGCGTACGTAGAAAAATAAACGTTTGTTGGTCGTCGCGAACGCGACGCTGTCGGCCATGCTGATTTGATTAAGACAGCTTCGGAGCTGTCGTAGGATTTCGTCGTAACCTGCGCCAAACTTACGAAAATTTCGTTTCGTGAATACGAATTTGTTCTCAAGTTTTGTCTTACGCATATTTTTGGCGTAAGATCGTTTTGTGACCCTGGCCTCTGTACTTTCGAAAGTCGCAGGAAAGGTAAGACAGACGGAGACGACGTTGCAAAGGAGCAGACGACGTTGCAAAGGAGCAGACGACGCTCAGATAGAGGGTCGCGATGAGCCAATCAGGGCTCGGCGTTCTGACGTCACCGCTACCCCCTGCGCAAGCAGCAGACGAACTTGCCCTCCGCATAGAGAAGCGTCTAAACAGCGACAAAATGTCTCGAACACTTGTTGCCGTTTGAGCGTTTCGGAAACGACAGCTGCTGCAAAGTTGGCCTACTGCCAAGTTGACTCCGCCTCTTGGTCCAGCTGCATCGTGGTGTCGTGTCGAGGGTACACTTCGGCATCGACTGTTTACACGCGTCTCGCTCCAGCTACGTCGCGCGCAGTGTTCCAAATACTTGCGTGAAGTTTTTTTGTTTCCTTTTTTTAATAAAAGCATGCTTTCCTGGTAGGGATTAGGCTTTTTCTAAAGCAACTTTCAGAGTGATCTTGGGTCAGCCGGATCCAAACCGATAATGACTATTCGTAGTTCTAATTCCAGCCGCGAGCAGTATCGCGCCACATGGTCCAGCACTCCTCTACGTGGTAAAGAGGTGTTCACCTATTTTTTAAAAAAGCTGCTTGGGACTTTTAAAACACTTGTGCCTGTCTCCAAGACGTCTTAACAGGCTTATATACAACCGGGGGCCTCTTGAGCTACCTGGGTAAGAATACGATGTCAGTATTTTTTACTGATATTTTGGGCGAGTTGGGCGCGCTGTGTATGTGCTAGTATTGCGCTGTAAAGTCGGTAACCTTTCTTTATCTTTTCTTTTTTTAACATCTGGATAGGAGGTAAAGGGAAAGGCTGCAAAGTGCGACGTGACTTTGCGCCCTTGAAAAAAAAAGGTACTCGGTACAGCCAGCAATCAGGTCGGACACAGAAAGAACTTAACTTGATCTAGTGGATTCATTAATCAAAATAATTTCTATTTGTGTTCGCGTACCGGGAGACTGACGCGGTGACTGCTTTGCGCACGCAGGTATTTTCTCAACGCCGCTGGTGCCTTCGGCCCGGTGTTTCCACGTGGACTACGCCTTCGAGTGCATCAGCAAGAGCCTAAACGTGTATGGCAATCTGACGGACTACATCCGCTCCTTCCGCAACGAGAGTACTTGCAGGTGAGCTCCGCCAACACTTCTCGACGTACTCTCTGCAAACCTTAATAGTTGCTAAAAACTGATTTTTCTGCGACAGTACAGGCTCTGCATTGAGTCCAATGCCCGCAATGTCTCCCTCTGACGCCGCAAATAAGAAATATAAACGTCTTGGAAGTGGTGCGCTAACTGTGATGAGAACGGTCATAAAGATTAAAACGCAATGCACTTTGACTGAAAACTCGTTTTTCTTTTTCTTCGGTTCATTAAGGCGAGTGGTGGGCAAGGTTCGCGAGTGTGCTGTTGGCGTCTTCGATATCTGCCACAACTCGGAAGCACTGCACGCCATGAAGGGCGCCCTGCTGAGTATCGTAGACGTGGCCCTCAACGCCACCGGTTGCGACGCCATCGAAGAGCACGATGGTGAGCACCCCCTACTGAACGCTGGTTTTTGGCAAGTTGCCAGAACAGAATATAAAAGCGTCGGATGTTTACATTGCTACGCGTTAAGTCAATATGATAGCACATTCTATAAGTACAAAATTGTTTAGAGCGCAACTCTTAGGCGCCTGTTTCCGGCTTGAGTGGCGTGGCCGTCGGCGTCGGCGTAACCGCGCGGTGCATTATGGGAAATGCCCTATATTGCAACGCGCTGGTCTCATTCGTGACCCCCGCGTTGCATTATGGGACGTTTCCCATATTGACGTCACACGTGACGTCACGAGTGACGTCGATCCCGCGCGTTGCATTATGGGAAACGTCCCATGATGCAACGCGTGGGTCGCACTCGTGACCCACGCGTTGCATCATGGGACGTTTCCCATAATGACGCCACGCTTGACGTCACGGTCGTAAAAGTCACGACGAAGTTATGCCTCCTCTCCGTATCCTCCCCTCCTCCTCCTCAAGAGCTGCGCTCTAATTCAGCATTAGAGGGTATTCTAAACGTCTTTAATTCTTTGTCTACGTGTCTAGTTTTCTACGGTGCGGTCGGGGAGCCAATTACAGTTTGTACGAAGAAAACTCGGTGCTTGAAAAGACTGATACAAACATACACACAAAGAATGTGTTTGCTGTTACATTTTCGGTTGCTGACGAATAGACGCCTGCCAAAGAACAGATTACAAGCTTTACTGTCATAAGATCAATATGTGACACAGCAGCCGTCCGTTCTTCAGACGCTGGAAATGACTGGTGGCAGTGATGGCAGCTGGAGCAGCATGTATTACCGCGTGCGCAGCTAGCCAAGTAGGCAGCACACTTCACTCCCACACAGTTGGCCGAAGTTCGAATCCCACCGCTACTTGTCGTTTATTTTTTTTCTTTATGATAGGAGAAAATTCTGAACCGCTGAAGAACCGTGTAGCTTGTTCATGCTCAGAATGTATAGTTCCAGAACGAACAATGTAAAATGTTGTAGGCACTCAGGGAAGGCCCAAAAGAAGCCGCGTGGCACCGTACGGAGTCAATCTTTCGCCAGCGCTCGACTCTGCGCTCATGTCGGCATTCGACGACATCGACGCCGTCCTATTACCCTCCGTTCTTCACTTTTGCTTTTGTTTTGGAACAAGTTCATTATACCAGGGGTGGAACGGCTGCGCCATTTGCGCCATTTTGCGCCAGACGCATTTGTCTGCGCCATCCTGCGCCATTTCACGGAAACTGCGCCACAGCCAATACCTTGCGCCATTATGCACCAAATCGCACAACGTGCGCCAAAGAAAAAAATATTTTGTCTTGGTTTCGGTTCCTATCGACTCGATTGGCAACAATTAGCCCGTTTAGCTTGGTCGGCCTTGCAATCCTTTGTTCTGTTTATTCTCCCTGTGTATCCCGAGTCGGAAGCGCGCGAAAAAAACTCGGGGATCGGATTCGAATCGCTACACCTGCGACTGGACTGTTATTCTTCAACCATAAGCTGTTAAGCAAGTCGGCCGAGGTGAGGTCGAGTCGTTAAGCGTCAGATTGCCTGAGGCTCTGCAGCCCGGGATCCGGACGTCAGCCAATTGAAAACAAATGAGCAAAATACTCCTTTTAGTACTTGATCGTTAGAAGTTGAAACCGCATTCCCGCAAGATAATTGCGATTTGATAGAACTGAAACGCGGTCCGATCCGAAACCTTGCCGGCCAGCTGCTGTCACGCGAGCGGTAGATCTGCTCGGTGTACTTCAACCTTGCTCCCGCTAATCGCTTTGAATACGATAACTCCGTTAATTGTAGTCTGCTGCTTCGATATTGAGTTGCACAATAGGATAAAGTCGAAATTTGTTGCCCTGTTCCCCCACGCAACTTCACGTCCGTTGCCTACGCACGTCATGTGGTTCGCACATATAATTACTATGTTGAGCACGTGGGGGTTGTGCGATAAGCAGTGCTGATTTGCATTTTGAGCAGCTGAAAGCCACTCAGAAAATATCAAGGACACCATCTTCAGAAACATACGGTACTTGCTTTTTGGTTCTCATTAAGGCTTACAAAGTTTCAAGTTTTGGCATCTGTTATGCTGTTATCCCATCTACCTAGGTCCCTAACCACTCATGTTCATCTGTGCTGCTAAGCACAATTGAAATTGCTCCCGTGCTCGTCTAAGACACAAGCTGAAGTGCAGTGAAAACTGATCTGAGCTGCTCCTAGCCTGCTCCAGAATGTAGTTTTAGCTGCTCCCAACCTGCTCCAAAACAGCGGTTTCAGCTGCTCCCGTGGCTGCTCCCAAATACATTTCATGAGTTCCACCCCTGTTATACTAAACGTTTAGTTTCTTTCGTTATTTACCGCCTCGCCAATTGTCATTCGTGGCAATATGACTCTTTCGACATAGACAAAATTGAAATGCGCCTAGAAATTAAGGTCTATAAAGTATTCACATGATCATATGATGCCCAACTGTGATTGGTCCTTCTGAAGAATTAAATTTCTCAGTCAACTTTACCAACAAATTCACGACGCTAAGTTTTAAAATGGATCCAATCGACGTCGATTTTCGGTGCCTTCAATTGTCGGTCCACTAGCCCTCCTAATTGTCTTGCTCTCCAACTCTTCATTCTTTAGCGAAGGTTAACTGAATGCGAAAAAGTTGAGGAACTTCTTTACTTCCCTCGACATTTTTTTTCTCGACAGAGTGGTTTAAGCAAACACGCTGCTTTTTGCGAGACCGCGATGAAGTTAGAGACTTTTTAGTGTTGTCTCGTTTACCCGCAGTCTCGGGGTTTTTTCAACCATGTGCAATGTACACCAGCTCGTTTGCGCCCTTACTTTTTGTTCATGAAGTTAGGCCGGAGATTAGAATTCTGGTCTTCGGGTATTCCGCCAAACACTTGTTCATATCGCTAAAGCCGTAGTCAGACTGCTAATTCATGATACAAATGACAGTCTACAAACAATCTCTGAGGCCTTCCTTGTATGGTAGTCCCATTGTTCATACTGTCTTCTGAGGCCTTCCCTGTATGATTGTCCGATTGGTCATGCTGTCTTCTGAGGCCTTCCTTGTATGATGGTCCCATCGGTCATGCTGTCTTCTAAAGCCTTCCTTGCCTGATGGTCTCATTGGTCGTGCTGTCTTCTGAGGCCTTCCTTGTATGGCAGTCCCATTAGTCATGCTGTCTTCTGAGGCCTTCAATGTAAGATGGTCCCATTGGTCCTACTGTCTTTAGACATGCCCGAAGCACGTATAAAGCCTTAGAACGTACTTGAGGAGTGTCTGACGTCAGGTCTGCAGCGATGTTTTTTGTGTGACGTAGACGAGCAGTGCGTCTGCGACTTTTCAGAGAGCGGCAGCGCGGTGCCGCGTCCCAGCGAGTGCCAGACGCAGATGACCCGCATCACGGACTGCCTCAAGGACATCGTGAGCCCTAACACTGTGGCTGGAGAACTGCTCGAGAAAATCCGCACGAGGCCGCAGGACTTCGACGCCACGTTCTGCAGGTGCGCCTTAGCTTAACCCGCTAGTCAGTATCCTACAAGATCACTAGAGCTATCGCCGATCAACTAGAGCTATCGCCGATCAACTAGAGCTATCGCCGATCAACTTCCCGAATTAGTGAACGATTTAAAAATCCGCAAGAAAATAAGCTGCGGCGAAAAGGTTATCATGCACTCTCAGAGGTAACTGCATGTACAATGACCCGCGCTGCACATTGGATACCACTCATGGTTCTTATCTTAATTAGTTCAATAAACGAGAATCGCAGTCGCTATCATGCACTGATGTTAATGCGGTCTCAGTGCAAAAAGAATGCGCGACTTTTTGCCAACGAGACTACACAACCGTTGCAGAATGATGCCCATTGCTTTTCCCATTTGTTTAAGCGACTAAACAAGGACCAATCATTCGTGTTTCTGGTTATTCGCGGTGTATTCCGGGCCCCTGCGGGAGTAACGCGCGATACAAAATTCACGAAACGGAAACGCTGGAAGTGCAGGTGACTTGGTTTATATAAAACATAATGTTTAAATACATCATTTTTTGTTGCTGTTGTACACTTACATGAATGTAAGCGCTTTCGCGTTAAAAGGCGTTTACTCCGTGTATCTTAGACCAAGAATATAATTTAATCGAAACATTATTGCGCGTCTTTCGGTCTAAGTGCTTTCTTCTTAGCGAAAACTTTACATGGAAGTGGGAGGGACATCACTCGCACCGACCGGCAAAAGCCTTTACAGTGTGTGTCGATGTGCCGCTGTTCTGGGGCAGGACGTACGAAAGCGTGCTGCACTGCAAGAGCAACCTGACTTCGAGCTCCTGCTACTCGGCGAAAGCCAGAGCTGCCCTCGCCAAGAACATCGACGCCTTCTCCAAGGCGAGGAGTTTCCTGTGCGCCAACAGTCGCAAGAAGCTCCTCGGTAAGTGCTTTCCCGCGAAAAGTTAATATTACCTATGTACACTTTCGAGTCTCCGATCACCGATCCCCCATTTTACCAGGGTATCCGCTGAGAATGGATATCTTACTGCAATTTTTTTTAATACTGCTCTGGCGACAGTGTAACTCACTGCCTGCTGGAAGGACATATTTGATAGAGTTAGTTATGAGCATTTTTTGTAAGTGAATTGCTTTCACATGTCTTTTTTTCAGTTTACCGATCCCATTTGTAAAATGTCACTGACGCTGGCTTACAAGTTCGAAGATACGTATTGACCGTGACGTTGGGACATATTAAAGAACGCCACCTTGCTACGGTCACTGACGAGAAGAGAACGGCAAGGATGCGTTTCAGTTGCCTCCAGGGCGATCTTCTTACCCTTGACGACACTTCGGCGTCTCATGAACCTCGAAACGTAGAGCTAAAGCACGACAGAGGAAAACGAGCGCGTGCTTGAGGCCGGTATAATAATTTTAAACGCCCTGAAGCTCTCATCCTATAAGTGACTGGTGGTGATTTTCATCGCGTGTTTTCGAACCTGCTTGCGCGGTTTCGTCTTGAGACCGCCAGGCCCTGTAAATATCTGATTTGCTCGAGAAGGCTGGTGGGAGAATCTGCTGCCACAGCGTTTTGTTCTAGCGACCAGGTGCCGTCGATTTCACTGGAGTAGCCAATTGTTGTTACCTAAAGGGCGCTTGTCTAGGATAAAACTATGTAATGACTTCCAGATGCGAGCTCACTGAGGAATAGTTTACACGGCGCTTTCTTGTACACCCCATTACGTTGTTTGTATGCGTCATGAATACTGTAAGAGGGAACTCAATAACCGCACTCATCTATGCGGCCTGGATGCGTACTTAGATTGAGTGTACTTTGTGGCGGAAGATCATTTTTCTCTCAGTTGCTGTTAGCTCGCTAGGAGATCGTCTTGGTGACCCTTGTAACCTTTTCCAGAGTTTGCGGACTCCTTCCAAAAGGACGGATGCAATCCCAACGATGACGTAATCAACGAATGCTCCCGCGACTACGTGCGGAACGTGACTTCGGCCGACACGGCCACATCTATGGAGGAAGTGCACAAGTAAGCATAACTGAAAAAAAGAAAGGTAGCGGTTTCGGTAGTCCCAGACGGCTTGAATTACCTACGTTCGTGCGACGTATAAACGGCTTGGACGGACGTCACATTCTTTTAAGTTACCGTTTCCAGCTGTTGCGGCTTCTATACTTCGTTTCACCTTATGTTGTACCGCAGCGAACGCTAGAAGCGCGAGCTCATAGCGTTGGCAGCCGCTCTTAAGTCACGAGAGCTTGTGCCGCCGAGATGTACCCTAGAGCAAGGAGCTCGCGCTTGTGGCCTTTCCTGTGGTACATCATAAGGTGAAACAGAGTATAGTCTGTGGCGTTGAATTGAGACTGCAGCCTATTGGAAGAAATCAGTACGCGTGGCCACACTGTAAAAAAAAGCCCGCGTCTACTTTTCCGCGTAACACTCGGAGAGCCATTCACCGCAGCTTAGGTAGGCAGCTCCGCGAAGGACGATGCCGAAACATATGTTTAGTCCAAAAAAACTCAGACTGAGTTGTGACATTGAGCAACGCAAGCGTGACGTTTTGCATTGCTTAATGTCACAACTCAGACTGCGTTTTCTGGTCTAAAGATATGTTTCGGCATCGTCATTCGCTAAGCTGCCTTTGTAAGCTGCGCTGATTGGCTCTTCGACGCACGAGCTTTTTTTAGAGTGCAGCGACGCTAACTCTTCTTTGCCATGCGAGTAACAATGCTTGGATTTGGGCTAGTTGGCCCCAATCAAAGCATCTTTGTCATGCGAGGATTGATTGCTTCGAATATTATGTGCACGCCACAGTGGCTCATGAAGTATCACTATTACCTTCGTATTGGGTATAGGCTTCTGCTACCCCGGGGTATTTTTAGAAAGGACTTGAGATATCTAAATTTCTTCGCTCCATACCTCTACTTCGTTTCAGCTTCGGTCCGAGCGCGGCCGATGTTACCAGCAGAAGGGCCAATCAAACAGCAAAAAAAGCACAACGTCATGGCGTGCTCTTTGCGGTTCATAGGACCAGCCGGTATTCGCCGTCTCTCTGTGCGCGCTCCTCCGCCGGCTAGTCCTATCAAGAGCGGAGAGCACGTCATGACGCTGCGCTTTTTGCGCTCTTTGATTGGCCCTTCGGCTTATAACATCGGCTGCGCTCGGACCGAAGCTGAAACGAAGTTTCAAAGTCCCAAAAGCTGATTATGCAGAGTAGATAGCCAACCTACGTAACACAAGGTACCACAGTATCGCATCCTCAGGGAGTGGATAAGCGACGTGGCTCCGTGTGCGCAGGTCCTTCCGTGCCCAGATGGAGTGCATCCGCAAGGAATTCAGCGACTGCAAGGACAAGAGCCCCGCCAGGCTCGTGTCGGAAGCCTTCCTCGACGAGGCCACGGCGGCGTTCCTCGCCGGCGGCGCCGCCTCGCACTCGTCCCTGTGGCAGTGGCTCGTCCTTGCGGTCGGTGTGGTGCTCCTGCGCGGTGCCTAGATCCACACGAGCTGCGCTCCGCCAGACGGACGTGAACAGACATCCAGGGGGCGAAAAACTATCAGCCATGTGAACCGAACTTTGGACATGTCGTAGCGTGCGGACGAACGAAGCGACACCTGAAAATGCTCCGCTCAGAGTGTTCATCCCGGTGGGGTTACTGGTATACAGCTGCCATGCGACACATTCGAGTAAATCTATCCAGAGTGTTAATTTGGAAACTTGTGGAAACCGAATGGCGGAGCGCCAGTTCGTCTGCTCCTCGCATAAGTGTTACCATGATGTCAGAACGCCGAGCTCTTATTGGCTGGTTGAAAAACAAAAAAAAACGGGTAGGCCTCGAGGCGTCTAGCTTTGAGGTCTACTCCTTATCCTTTCAATCAAAGCCAATCAAAGCTCGGCGTTCCTCTGACGTCACCGCAACCCCTGTGCGAGAAGCAGACGACTTGTTCTCCGCATAGGCTTTGCTCCTCATGCCTCGGTAGAATTGGCGAAGGACAACTGTACATCTGGGTGCATGGGGATGTATGCATATCTCAGACCGACTGCGAGATATATAGAGGGCATAACGTTGTGTACATGCAATGGAGGGAGCTATGTACCTGCCAAACTATATCTGAGCGCAAATTGATTCCGATCCGTTCACGTTGTTGCATGCTCAATTCATGGTAACCGCGCAAACTCGTGCGAGCCGCGTCTTTCTTGGTGCCGGAGACAAACTTTTTTTCATCAGGGTAATTTATTTGACAATCGCAGATATTATCAAATAGCTGCGATTGTCAAATAAGACATATTATTTTGTTGAAAAATATTGGTTATTGTGAAAATCGCATATAAAATTTGAATGCGCTAGAGAAGCATGGTTACACTAAAAGACTCAGTGCGCTGCAGTGTGTTGGCTACGCACATTGTGGCCAACCTGAAACAATGGTGCGGACTGTTGCATAGGTAGATAATCGAATAGGCGATTATAACGTCATAATAAAATATGTCCATTTGGATAGTGCCAAAAAACAATTTCAGAAGAGGTGAGTTATGTTATTCTTAGTATTACCTCAACCGCCAAATAACGTTGGTGATATTAAAAGAAATAGTGTTCGAGTTTCAGATCTTCTGGTGACTGTATTATTGAGTTGATGTTAATTAAAAAGATCAATTTTGATTGACAATTTTTTTTTATTTTATGTTTACAGTTTAAGATATACAATATTATTATATAAAATGCGCAGACTAGTCGACCAGCACGAAAACATGTCTATAACGTCGTGCGACTGCTTGGCTGGGGTTCTTTAAGGTGCATCACGCAGTAGTGATACACGACCGCCTACCGGTACGATGCTCATCCAGATTGAAGCGGGCAGAGGTGGGGATATGAACCCAAGAATCCTGGGTTCTGTAGAGCGAGCTTTCGCTCCGTGGGCTTATAACTGCGGTGCGATAATGGACGCTGTCACCGATCCCAAAGACCTGATCAGCTGTTAAGTAAAGAAAGGCTACATGCATAGGTACTTAAAAAATGTCCTCATTTTGAGAAAAATGTCTTGCAATGTAAACTGCGTGCGGTGCAGAATTTTGTATATGCATTTAAGCCGCGGTTCCACTTCTAATACATCATACAAAAGACAGTCTATAGACACTGCCTGAGGCCTACATTATCATGATCCACACGAAATGTGGGGCATGTTTTGAGCTGAAATGGGTTATTATTTATGAACTTTCCTAAGTTTTTAGACAAAACTAAAACACTTTTTTTTTATTCGTGCTCTAAAGATACATAAAAACTTTCTTTTCGTGCCTCCGGGACGGACTCGAAGGTGGTCATGCGTTTGTTTAATTGCCTCAATACGGCCTCGAATGGGTTGCATCTGTTTTCTCTAGCATTGAAACTGCGTTTTCCACTCACTGCAGAAGAACAGGATGATGCGAAGAAATATCTTTTATGCCTAGGCTCAATGACAACATGAGAGTAAAGATTCGTTGGATGCTGTGGCGATGGTGGCCAGGCGCAGAGAGAGCTGGCGTACCTCAGGTGGTTCGATAATGAGATGGAGGACGAGGACGAATTGCAGAGCGGTTCCAGAGGGTGATGTTTACGAAGGTTTAATTTATAATTAATTTTTACAAACTATGTACGTCGGTAATTTAACAAAGCCAGGGATCCTAGTATCATTGACGCGCGATGAGGCGCTCAAGTCCATACCAAAACCGCACTTTCGCGCGTGTCTCCGCCTTATGTAGGGGTCCACCCCCTTTCTCTCTGGCCGGAACATACAAATCAGTTTTAACCTGACCGACGCCACGTGGTGGACCCCCACCCAATAAACTGCAGACAAACAACAGAAACACCACTCGATACCCCAAAGGACTCTACGTAGTAGGTTAGGTGCACGACATACTGTAATACTGACCTGCCCATAGAATGGCTCCCTATAAGAGACGCTGTCGCCGATGAAGCGCCTCTATTTGCCATTAGGAGCACTCAGTAAAGGCTTTCCTGTGACCCAAACTCGGTTCACAGCCTGTTTGCCGAGCACACTGTCCGCACGGCGCGCAGCTGCTGAAATCTGATTACTGTTTCTCGGGAACACCTGCCGTAGCGTGGCGCCAGCAGACTGGCTTCACACTACGCAAATTGATTAGTTCGACAAAAATCAACTTGTGGCTCGACGGCCACGAGATACTTCGGTGTACCTCTGCAGCACAGGCGTAATCAAAGCGTTTACTGGTGCGAAGACACAGCCGAATCGTAAAGGTAAGTATCACGGAGGTAAAGCCATGACTTGTCAGTTTTGCTAAAGCAACGGCCAGTGCAACATTTTTCTTGTCGCCAGACTCACGTATGTGCGTCAAGAGTTACAATGCGGTCGAAGTAGTATCTACAAAGTTTACGTGATTTGTGACAATTGTTTTTCGTAAATCTAACTTAGAGCCAGTTCTCTTCCGCCGCATTATTTTGTGGCATTAAGCCCATCGCATTTATTTCTCCGGCAGTTCGTATAGCGATTTTTTTTACGCGATATCAACCACTTGTTTATTGGCGCGTTTTCTTTTTTTGCACACTTTGTTGCACAGAATAATTACAGTGCGCGGACATTCGGGCAAAACTGGCGGGACACTTGCCTTCGTTTCTGGTATAGAGTCATGAGAGGCGGCCATCTGTGATTGTTGGTTTTCTCAAGGAGATCGTTGACGCGTGTAAATTTAGGTAAGCGCTCTCAGGAAAATATTTTTGTAAGAAGAAATTGACTCCCACCCTCTAGGCGCCTAGGTGGAGAAGATCTCTGATAAAACAAGTTTTAAAGGGAAGTCTCCAAGGTGGAGAGGATTTACGTAATAATAAATCGGCTTCCACCTGAAATAGAAAGCAGCTCGCGAGCTCTGGGTGACTGGTGGCCGCTAAAGAAATCTGCCTAGTCCGGCATTCGACCCGGGGATCTCTCCAAGATTAGCTGAGCGCTCTACCGATTGAGCTAACCAGGAGCTGCCAGACAGTAGAGCAAGCCGATGTCAGCAATTGCTACCGGTCTTGATCATAGACACCGGAGAGTTCAAATCAGTCGTTAAATATTTAATATAATGAGTTTTAGGGGAAGTCCCCAAGGTTGAAAAGCTTTACGTAAGAATTACTTGGCTTCCCCTTGAAATGGAGCGCATCTAGCGCTCTCTGGGCGACTGGTGGCAACTGTTAACATGTATTTGCTCTGCCGACTGCCAGCTTCTGGTTAGATCAGTTGGTAGAGCGTTCCGCTAGTCTTGGAGAGGTCCCGGTATCGAATCCCGGACCAACCGGATTCTTTCAGCTCTCATGAATCCCCTAGAGGGCGCCAGCTGCGCTCCATTTCAGGTGGAAGCCGATTTATTCCTTCGTAAATCTTTTCCCTCCTGGGCACTTCCCCTAAGACTCCTTATATCAGAGACGATTTGTCGAATACGTGATTAGAAAATTTGTGCCCAACTCCCTATATGGTACTCTTTTCCCAGAGCCTTCGTACCGTATGTTGTAAGCCTGGGGCGCGGCCAAGGTGTTATTTGTTTGCCGAAAAAAAGTTCGATCTAGCCACGTGTCAAAAGTTTCTTTTTTAAAACTGCGTGCCTCGAAGCTGACTGTGAACTTCTGGTTTGACAAGAAAGCTCTATTTTTTTCCTCCTTGGACTTCCAACTACCTTCTTCGTAGAAAAACAGCTGAAACAGCTGGAATGACATGTTGTTTTGCCTGTTGCAAATGAATAGTGATAGACCGAATCCGCGGAACTTCGGCAAAGTTCCAAAGATTCGGCACAAATTCGGCAAACGTCTGCGCACGTGCGAGAACACGACGGGGACATGGATTGCAAATGGACGCCGTGCGGTCGTGCTGTTACCATCGGTCGTGCTGTTACCATCGGCGAGGAGCGGAGTAGGCGCCATGGTAACTGTGTGCTTGTCAGCTTTGTGAGTGTGGTTTCCTCAATAGTTTATTCTTCAAGAACAAAAGATCGGCCAGGAATTCATGCAGTCCACCTCGCAAGTGACAAAGAATGCGGTACATTCCGGATAACGTGATTTTAATTTGATATTTCCAGTGACGCAACGAGGTAGTTGCAGCATTGACTGACAAGTACTTTGAAGCACCCCTCGTCATTATAGAAATGCTGTTTTCGGCTCACAAGTAGTTTGTGCCAAAACAAAATAATAATGTTTTTTTTTATTTAGCGTTATCTTGAGTTTTTCATTTATACGCATAAAACTAAACACCGAACCAGCATGCTTGGCGTTGCACATCCGACATTCCTAACTCTTCCCATCTTCCTAAACGTTCGCGTGCGCTCCAACATCGGAAACCGGCATTTTAAAAGTTAAAAACATTTAAAAGTTAAAAACATTTAAAAGTTAAAAACAAAGTTTAAAATTTAAAAACGAAAAACATGCATATTTACAATAACATTGTTATCTCTTCTCGTGAAGGTTCGGCAGCCGTTGCGTTCATTTTCGCGCACAAAACGGTGACTCGCGAAGAAAGTAAGAACAGTGTGTTTACCGCATTTATTTCAACAATGCACACACTTGCGTGCTTACGCTGATGATGCCTCATAACCAAAACTCGCCTATCGTAACTGTGCCCGCTACCCTGCTACTACCGAACCTCGTTGTCACGCCACTTCTGCAAAAAGTCACTTTAAAATTACCAGTAAACACACAAAAACGACACCAATACAATTATCTTGTAGAATATCATGTCATTTAGTAATAGCTGTGTCAATATGCAATAAAAAAAAAAAAACTTAAGAGCTTTTTTTCCTTCAAAAAGCGAAATATCAAATTTTAGGTTTTGCAACAATGTATTTTTGCCGAATCTTTCACTTGGGAAGCAGAGATAACAGAACCGGCGCAAGTAAAAACAGGACTAAGGCAGTGTTGTCCCCTATCACCTCTACTTTTTATGATATGCCTGAATAGAATGAAAAATGAATTAGAAGAGCGAAATTTATGTTTTGATATGTCATATATGAAGAGGGAGGAAACGCATAAACAGTTATACTAGAAATGTTTTACGCAGACAACACTGTACTATTAGCAGACAGCCGGGATATGTTACAGGAGCTGATTAAGATCTGTGGAAAGGAACGAAACTCCCTGGGCCTGAAATTCAGTAGCCAGAAGTCGGGGATAACAGTTTATAACGATTAGAAAGGGGACCCACTGAAAATTTAAGAGGTTTAGTAAAACACGTAGAGAAGTATAAATACCTAGGAGTATGGCTGAATGCGAGAAAACAATTTATGTAGAAGATCAGGAAGAAACTATGCTGAAAAAAAGAATGCAACAATTATGAAGCATAAGGCACTATAGAAATACAATAGATACGAAGTTGTTAGGGGAATATGAAAAGGAATAATGATGCCGAGATTGTCTTTTGGCAGTGCGGTATTATGCGTGGAATCTGAGGTCCAATCGAGCTTAGAGACCTGGCAGAGGAGCGTGGGCAGACCGGCAATGGGGGCGCATGGGAATACACCAAATTAAGGAGTGCAGCGAGAAACGGGCTGGGCATCTTTCGAGGCGACCAGTAAGTTGATATTTGAACAAAGACTAGACACAATTGAGAATACACGATGGGCGAGAAAGG